TGGCCTGTACCCCAGTTCTTTATGCACAAATAAATAAATCTTTAAAAAAAAATTTTATACTTTAAAGCCAAGTTATCAGGGGCCTCCTTGGTGGCACTAGGGGTTAAGTCTTAGTACTATGAAGCTGTCCACAGCCACTGCAGCTGTGGGTAAGTTCGATTCCCAGCCAGGGAGATGACCACATGGCACAGCAGACCTCTCCGGTCTCACCCACTGCTCCCCGCAGCAGTGTATTTCAGTCCATCTGCCTGTTCTGCTCCCCACTCTGTCTCTGTGAATTCTTTCACCACCACCTGGTTCCAATCAGACTTCCAACTTGCCACTCTACAGAACTCTTCTCAGGCTCTCCGGTGCTGAGTGTTACAAACCCAAAAGTCCATTCTCACTGCTCAGCAACATCTGACCGCAGAGATCCGCCCTACTTCCTTGAAACCTATTCCGGGATACAACTACACTCTGCGTCACTCATTGCTTCTTGGGCTACTTTGTTGATTTCATCCTATCTTGTCAATGGCTAAATGTTGAAGTGTCCCACAGCTCAGACCTTAGACCCCTGAGTTTTCTTATCTGTACTTATTCTAAAAGACAGGAGGCCGGCGGACCTTGGCAATAACCTCTAGGAGACCCAATTTCCCATCTGTAAACAGAGCTGTTCTGCTACCCACTGCGTAAGACTGTCATCAATAATGCTCAGTGCAGTTTCCGGGTTATTTATATTCCTGGGGCTGAGCCCAAAATAGTTGGATGGTAAAAGATTGCTACCACCCTGGCCCCTTACCCCCAGAAAGTAGTTTTCAAGAGGAGTCTCTGCACCTTATGTGGTACTGACAACATCCACTCTGTCCAGATGGGAAAACCAAGGCTCAGAGAGGTGGAAAATCATCCTTCCTGGGCATCCAGCTTTGCTAGTAGCACAGTGAGACTATGAGGTCAGCAAGAGGCCCTAGATTGGCCCCAGCCCATAAGGCTGGTGTCTTATCCTGGGGGGCCCAGAGAAGAGAGGAAAGGGGGGAAATTACCTACCACTGCTCTCTGGTTCTTTTCTGGCAGGACTTCAGCCACATACTTGCTGATACCAGCACTCTGTAACTGCAGCCGCTCACACTGGTCCACAATCTTGTTCTGCAACACAAAGGACACTCTTGGCATCCTGACCGGTGTCGGGCTATTCACTTCGTTCCACTGACTTTTTTTTTTTTTAAAGATTTATTTATTTATTCGTACAGAACTGGGGTACAGGCCAGAGATGTGGAGGGTGAGAGGATTCACCAGAGACAGAGTGGGAAGCAGAACAGGCAGATCGACGAAGTACACTGCTGAGGGGAGCAGCGGGCGGGTCAGGAGAGGTCTGCCGCGCCATGTGGTCAACTCTGGGGCAGGTGGGAATCGAACTCATGTGGAAGTGGCTTAAGCTTCTTAGTGCAGTTCTTTAACCCGCTGAACCACCAGGGAGGGCCCTCCATTGACTTTTTATCTTGACCTCATTTCAGCGACCCCTGCCCTTGGTCATATCCAGACTTCATCATTATTGAGAATGGCATGCCCCAAATCTTCATTTCATTCTACACCCTGCCACCACTTCCTTGTCTCCCAGCTCTCTAACACTAAATCTCCATTCCAACACGGCTTCATCTCCCACTTCTCACTGTCCATTATCCTTTCTGGGGGCCCTGCTTCCCGCTTTATTCTAAAACCCCATGGGCCATTGTTATAATCATTTTTTAAAGTGGGGGGTTTGGTTTATTTACTTATTTAGACAAGAACTGGGGTACAGGCCAGAGGTGTGGGGGTGAACAGATACACCAGAGACAGAGTGGGGAGCAGAACAGGCGGACTGACTGAAATACACCGACCTGCAGCGGGCAGGTGGGGAGAGGTCTGCTGTGCCATGTGGGTCAACTCCCCACTAGGGATCAAACTCGAGCTCCAGTGGCTGCGGACAGCTTCACAGTGCCGCATTTTAACATGTTGCGTCACCAGGGAGGGCCGTTATAATCGCTTTGGGAATACTCTCAAACCTCCTTCACACGCTGCTCCCTGACTTTCACACCTGTGCCTGGGCATGGCTTCCCAAAATGTTCTTCCCATTATCCCCATTTATTCAACATACCATCCGTCATCAACCTCATATCCAGAGCCAAGCCCCAGGAGCACTGTCCTACCCAACACCCTACCCACCCACCAGTCCTATCCATCAGCCCATCTCCACGGTCTCTTTCTCGCTCCTCTAGTCTCTGCAGGTCACTTGCACTCCTGCTCTGCTCCCCAGATTACCATTCTCTCTCCCAGGAATCCTCTCTGGGCTTCTATTCTTGACCCACACAGCAAGCCCCCGCTAGCAGGTCTTGTCCTGTCCCTGCTCCCTCCAGTCTCTCTTGTACACACACTGTGAGATCAAGCCCCTTACGTAGCCAAGGAGGACCATCCCGAAGGGCTCTGCCTGCCTCTCTAATGTACCTCGCATCACTCGCCACACTTGTCTTCCTGTCCCAGACATCCCAAAGCTGTGCTGACCTAGCGCCTTTCCACCTGCTTTTTCTCTCCAGCTATCTCCTCCTATGGCCCGCTCCCTCTCTCCAGTCAAAGGTCACTGCTTCAAAAGCTTTTCCTGATGACCTTTACACCCTATCGCCTTACATTGCTCATGCTTGTCCCTTGCGCTTACTGCTCACTGACCATGTTATGACTGAGCTCACTTCACTGTGTGTCTCTCCTCCCTTCTGCTGAAACTTCAGCACCATGACTTTGACTTGCTCTCTAGGTTCCACTACCTAGAAGATAGTTCCTAAATAGAGGAGGCCCTGAACATACGTTTGCCTAATGAATGAATACCCACCTCTTGACCGCAGAGGTTTAGCCCACAGCTTCCACAGCTGTGGGAGAGTCTCAGAAATGAAGAAGCTGGGGCCCACACAGAAGTATGTGGTCATTCCACTTCTCCAGGCACTTTCCAAGCAGCAACCCTGGCATCCCCCCTCCTCCCCAGCTCCAGCCGCAACCCGGCCACTATTTCCACTCCTAGTTCCATCTGCCAAAAGGCACTTTGTCTTCTTTTTGTGGGAAGCCTTTGTAAATGATTCCCCCCAAATTAGGAGCTAGTCTTGCACTCCATGAGTACAAATACAAACTTAAAGAATTGAGTTGACTGGGAGGAAGCTGTGATCCCAGACTGGGGGAACTGAGACTAGCTTCTGTAAAGATACACAGTGGCCTCCCTAGTGGTGCAAGGGGTTAAAGCACAGCAATTTGAAGCCATCAGCAGTCACTGTAGCATGAGTTTGATGAGTCTGATTCCCAGACCAGGGAGCTGATCCACATGGCACAACAGACCTCTTCTGTCTCACCCGCTGCTCCGCTCAGCAATGTATTTCAGTCAGTCCACCTATTCTGCTCCCCACTGTCTCTGGTGAACCCTCTTATCCCTCCACCTCTGGCCTGTACCCCAGTTCTTGTATGCATAAACAAGTAAATCTTTGAAAGAAAGAAAAGACACCTGGGCAAGAATTCTGAAGGTAGGAGAGTTGTTGACCGGGTGCTGTTTTTGTCCAGATCAGTAATCAATTTAGCCTGAGGCAAAATCTCTTTGCTGGGGGTTAGGGGGTGGGGAGTGGAGGAGGGGGTAGCAAAAAGTGCAAAAACCAAAATCTTTCGAATTGGAAGAGTGAAAGGGCAAGACATACATGCAAAGATGTGCATGCTTAAGGCAATACCTCCAGCAGAGTATATTCTAAAAGGTCCATTACCTAGCCCAGCTCACCCATCCACCCCATCCACCATTCAAATTCACCCCTGATACCGACTTCTTTTTTCAAGGGTTCATTAAATTCTCACCCCCACCCCCAACCCACCCCTTAGCATTTCCTCTTTCCAGCCACTGCTGCAAAAAGGTGGTTTCCTCTGGTCTAGTCAATGACTCCCCTCATCCAGCCCCTTAATCTTGGAGGAGTTCACTTACTGCCTTGTTTTGGTCCGGATGGAATGAGATAATGGATTTTTTTAATAGTTTATTTTTACATCATTTTGTGCATTTTTCCATCTCAGTTGTAATCCCGGTGGGCTTCCCATCACCAAATCATCCGTGTGCCAGAGATGATGGATTTTTAAGTGTTTTGAAACTTGTAGCGTTTCTACCCATTGTGCAAATTATTGTACTACTTTCTCCACGATTATTTTCATCATCACATTATGGACAGTGGTGACAGGTAGACAGTTTTCAGGTGTCGCTAAATAACTCATTCTCCCCAGCCCCAGCTCCCAGTCCAGTGAGTAGGTCAAATCTCCCACAAGAGCCCTCAGGCCTCACAGCTGGGCAAAACTCCAGGGAGAGGTAAGGAGAATCAGGCCTTTAATCAAATTGCAAGGAAATCCCCAGGGGCCAAAGCTAGGTGGAAGAAGGGAGGAAGTCCCTGGGTGACCTGACTCTCCAATCTCAGCTGCTCGGGGGAGGGGCCCTGACCGGAGTCTTAACAGGGAGAAGAGGGAGGGAGAAACCAAAAGTGAGTGTTCCCGCTGCAACCTCCCGATAGCTTCTCCATCCGCTCTTTACTCGTTAGTGGAGTGGCGGCCTTTATCCTGAAGGTTAAAAAGCTCCTCACCAGGAAGCCTGAAGGGCGGGCAAACAGAAAGGCTTTGGGCTGTTAGGCTAAGGAGTGAGGGGTTGGATTTTTATCAGATCAGCTTCCACCAGAGAGGGAGCTGGGCACACTTAGTCGGGCCAAGTTCCGCTCGTGCCCCGGGTTCAGGAGACGCTGAATTGTCCACTATGTGATTAGGACAATAACCAGACAGCATTTCACCCATTCTCTTACTTATCTCACAATTCTGATAAATGCACTTGAATATCCCCTCCCCCGCCCCACCCGACTCCACCCCACTCCAGCTACGGTTATGGCCACTGAAGCTCAGATTTACAAGACTCTGCGAGGACTAGGAAGGCGGGATTCGAACTCAGGCCTCCCTCTCTCCACACCCTTAACCGCCAGTACCACCGCAGAGCCAGAATTTTGGACTGGCGCTCTGGGCCCGCAATTTCCCAGGCTCCAGAGTCTCCGGGACGTCTTGCCCGGCGCTCCTTCCCCCTGAAGCGCCCCTGAAACGCCCCCACCTTCCGACACCCGCGACCGCTCACCCGTAGCTCCTCCGCGCGTTCTTCCGCCCGCCGGGTGCGGTGCCCTCTGCAGCGGCCACCCAGCCCCACGCAGGCGGCGCACACCGGGCGTCGCTCGGAGCTACAGAACCAGCTCAGAGCCTGGCAGTGCTCAGGGCAAAGGGGTCCGGGCTCGGACTCGGGTTCAGGTCCCGCCCCCGGCCCCGACCCTGACCCAAGCTTGGGCCTGGGTCGCGGCGGCGGGTCCGGCCCGGGTCCCCGCCCCACGTTCTCCGCGGACATGGCCGAGCACCTGGCACCGCGCGCTCCACCTGCCGCAGGTGGCTGCTGGGCGGGGCCTCCCAGACCCCCGCACGGGCCCGGCGCTCTGGGCCGAATTGGCCCAGCGCCGCCCACTGCGCTCCACCTGCCGCAGGTGGCCGCTGGGCGGGGCCTCCATGACCCCGCCCCCGGGCGCGACCGGCGACTCTGAGTAACCATCGCGTTTCCTCTAGCACCCGTCCGGCGGTGGCTCGGCTGACACCCTGACCGCACCCACGTCCTTCCCGGTCCTGCCCCCGAACCTGCCCATCTCAGGGCGTTTTTTGTGTTTGTTTTTTCTGCATTCCATCGCCTTTTTGTTCATATTTGTTTTTCTAACAAGCATAAAACAGCAAATATTAATGTGACTAAAGGAACTTTGATGAGCACCTATTAAGTGCCAAGGTTCTGCTAAGCGCTTGCCCCTTGTGAGAAACAACTGAAACAGTTTAAAAGCAAGGTCTGGGGTCAGTCTGCTGGGCTCAAATCCCTTTTGACTGCTCACTGGCTGAATACCTTCCCAGAACCTCAATTGTAAAATGGAGATAATGAGAGTACATACCTCAAAGACAAGCGCTGAGGATTAAATGAATTAAATAACATCAATTACCTGGAGCACAGTCAGCGGCTGCTGATAAGTACAAAGAGAGAACTGGAGTTAAGTGGCTGGCCAGGGGTCACAGTAACTGATTGATAGCAATAAGATTGGAACCCAGGCAGGTGAATTTATGATTAATGTAATACATTTTTTAATTACACATTAAGGCCCAATGAAAATATTAGCACTGGGCTGATTTTCCCAAAGTAATTTACACCCAAATGGTATTGAGGGCCTCCGTGGCAGCCCAAGGGGTTAAGTCAGCATTATAAGGTGATACCAGCATGATTTGATCCCAGGCCAGGGAGTGACTTACATGGCACAGCAGACCTCTCCTGTCTCACCCACTCCTCTCTCTCCACAATATATTTCAGCCAATCCACCTGTTCTGTTTCCCACTCTGTCTCCGGTGACTACTCTCCCACCTTCCCTTCTCCTCCTCCACCCCAGCTCTTTTATGCATAAATAAATAAAATAAATCTTTAAAAAATGGTCTTTAAAAAATGCATGTTTATTAAAGAAACAATATGCAAATGAGCATGTGAACGGAAAAACTCATCTCTAGAAAGAACCTTTGCTAATGTGCCTGTGATATATCTTGGGGGGGCCCTTTTTTTTAGATTTTATTTACTTATCCATATAGAACTGGGGTACAGGCCAGAGGTGCAGGGGCGGCGAGAGAGGATTCACCAGAGACACAGTGGGATGCAGAACAGGCAGGTCGATGAAGTACTGCGGAGGGGAAGAGTAAGTGGGTCAGGAGAGATCTGCCACACCATGTGGTCACTTCCAGGGCTGGATATTGAATTCAGTGGCTGCAGCTCACTTGCAGTGCTATACTTTAACCAGTTGCCTCCAGTCTTTTTCTTACTGAGAGTCTTGTTGCTCTTAGGCAACCTAGGGAGTCTTGATAGGATTGGGGAAAGCTGTACTTGAAATTAAGGGCCTTTCTAAATAGGACCCCCTGAACTGGGAACAGAAGAGAATGGACACCTTTCTTACATTTAAGCACTTTAACAGATTTATTAAGCACCTACCTGTATGTCACAGGCTACTTAAGACAAGACGCTGAGGATCCAGTAAAGAACAAATTCTATTCTCTGATAAAGCAAATGGATATGTAATATTACATAACAAAAGCCCAATTGAGTTAATGTTGAAGGTCTAAATTGGTTTTATTAAACAATTTAAAGCATTCCATCCAGCTGGTAGAACAACCTTACAAAAGAGTTTTACAAAACAGATTTTTATCAATAGAAAAGAGGGTGGTACAAGAAAAGAAGGATTATTTCAGGCAAAGCCACTTCCCCTTAGGGAAGGCAGAGGGAGTTTATCATGCAAATTCTGTCATTCCTGCTGATCTGGGAATTCCAGATATATATAAAATTCCACCTTTGAGAAAGGCTGAAATGCAATAAAATTGGGCATTAAATATTTTAATTTTTAAAAACATATTTATGCATACAAGAGCTGGGGTGACATCCAGAGATACAGGAAGTGAGAGGATTCACCAGAGACAGAGTGGGGAGCAGAAGAGGCAGATCTACTGAAATAACCACTGAGGGAGCAGTGGGCAAGGCCAGAGAGGTCTGCTGCACCATGTGTGTCAGTCACCTCCCTGGCCCAGACCAACTCAGGCTACATTGGCGCTGGGACTTTAACTCCTACACCACCAGGGAGGCCCAGGTATTAAATCTTAGTGGGGCTTGACAACAATGAGCCCATCTGAAATCTGTTGTTTCTTTTTTAACAGTCATAGAATATTGATAAGTGATAAGAATTAGCATTGTTTTTACTAATTAATTTTCTCACCTCACTGTTCATGTTTGTACAATACTTGAAATCTCCCCTCAATATAGCTCCCCATCGTTCCCCACCACAGCAGTATCTGTGACCCATCACCACAGTTCCTTATGCTCTTCCCTCTCCTGTTTTGACCCTTTTCTTTCCCCTCCCCTGCTGTTTGCCTCAGATCTATGGTCAGTTTGCCAGTTTTGTCTTTTTTCCCAACCCTTTGTTCAGTTTCCCTCTATTCTACCTATAAGTGAAAGCATTCAATTGTCTCTTTTTCCTTCTGACTTATTTCTCATAGCGTAATCCCTTCCAGCTTATCCACGTTGATCCAAATGGCATGCGTTTACTTTTATTGATTGCTAAGCGGTATCCCCTTGTGTGTATCTACCACATCTTCTTAATCCATTGATGTGCTTTGCGACATTAATGTTGTTTCCATGTCTTAGCGAGTGGAATTGCTGGGTCGTATGGTAGCTCCATTTTTAGTGTTCGGGTAACCTCCACACAGCTTCCTATAGTGGTTGGACCAGTTTGCATTCCTACCAGCAGGCTAAGAGGGAAATGCCAGGGGTTGTGAAAAAGAAATATTCAAGCATTATAGGAAAGAGGTGCTGATCTAGAAAGGTAATGTAGGCAATCTCTCTAGTAATGGCGCTAGGGTTTTGCCCTGAAATCCACACAGCCACTCTACACTTTTTAACTGGTTAATTCAAGCCATCTACACTTATGGCGATTAGTGAAACCTATGTGTTTATTTCTTTATTTTTTCAAAAATTTATTTATTTATGCATACAAGCCAGAGATGAAGGGGAGGTGAGAGGATTCACCAGAGTCAGAGCAGGGAGCAGAACAGGCAGACTGACAAGCATATTGCTGAGGGGAGCAGCGGGCAAGACAGGAGAGGCCTGCTGCGCCATGTGGGTCAGCTCCCTGTCTGCGGATCTAGCTCACGCAGGAGAGGACACCAGCTTCCCAGCGCTGCGCTTCTACCCATTGCACCACCAGGGAGAGCCCATAGTGCTTATTTCTATTTTTCCTTTGACTTTTTTTTTTTTTACATCTTCATTTTATGTTTTATTTAGCCTGCATTCCACTGTGTTGTGTGTTACTTCAGTTGGTTTTTGCTTGAATCAAAAGCCATGGATCACCTAATCAGCATTCTTAATCTGGAAGTTGTTAGTATTCTGTTCTTGTCATCGGCTTTGAACAGTTTAATTACAGTGTGACTTGGAGTGTACCGTTCTAGTATAATTTTGTTTGGAACTCTTTGAACTGCTTGGATCAGAATGTCTCATTCATTTTCCAGATTGAAATGATTCTGGGCAATTACTTCTTTAAGTATATTTTCTATGCCTTATTCTTTCTCATCTCCTTCTAGAACCCTCATGATAGGTATTTCTAAGTTACCCCCAAACAGTTCTTAGCACCATTTTCATGTTTTTAGCCTTAACTTTCTTTGTTGTTCTGTTTGTGTATTCTCTTTCACAGTGCTTTCAAGCTCACTAATTCTCTCCCTTACTTGTATTTGTTTACTATTTTTTAATCTAGTTGCAGTATTTTTTATATCCATTAGTTCCAGTTACTGCAATCTCACATTTTCTTGTTTTGTTTTAATGGTGGTGGGTAATTTTTTTTTTTTATTTAGAATTGGGGTGTAGGCCAGACTATGTTGACAGAACAATTGCAGAAATAGTGATTAATAAAAGCTCAAGGGAATTTTTGATCAAAATAGATCAAAAAAGGGATTTTTTTCCTTAGGGGCAGGGAAATGTCAGTGCACTCTGCATTAGTGTTTTTCTGACTTCTAGTTCCTTAACATTAGATCCTGTACCTTTAAGATGTATGTTTGTTGAAATATTAACAAAATGATTGCTTAAGTTGTAATAACTAACTGATCACCATAGGAACATTTTGTTTGATAACCAATCACTATAGGAATATTTTGTTTGATGACTGATCACCATAGGAATATTTTATTAATGACTGGTCACTATAGGGACATCTTGTGTATCAATTGTACTTTTAATTAATGAATGACGAATATCATAGTCTCAATAGGAAATCAAAAAGTCCCAAGCTGTCTTTAAGAAAAATGTGATGATTGTTAAACTTTCTGCTTCATGCACACACTGATGTAATCCCACAACTTGCTTGTAACGTATAAAGACCTGCTGGGACAATCAGCCGAAGATGCTTTTACCCTAAACAGGTGTCTGTGTCTCCTCATTTTTCTACCTCATCTTTTCTTTCTCTCTTTTCTTTGCCAACACCATCCTGTCCTGCAGGAGACACTCACTCCCTCAGCTGAAGCTGGTCTTCAGCAACAAGCCCTTTTGAAGCTTAAACTTGGGAGTTATACAATGTCACTTCCACCACATTCTATAGGTAAAAGCAAGTTACAAAAGCCAGTCTTGGAGGGAGAAGTTACAAAGAATTTGTGGCTATTTTTAATCTGTCACACCTTGGGATGATGTTGACATGAAACAAGTTGCTGAATAGAGAAAAACAGATAGCTACTTAATTATAGGATATTTAAGAGGCAAACATGAGGAGCCTTAGGAGTCCTTCCTTAAACAAGAAAGAGGGTCGGCCCTCCCTGGTGGCGCGGCGGGTTAAAGCACAGCACTGAGAATCTAAAGCTGCTTCCGCATGAGCTGGAGGTGACCACATGGTGTGGCAGACCTCTCCTGACCCACCCGCTGCTCCCCTCAGCAGTGTACTTCGTCGATCTGCCTGTTCTGTTCCCCTCTCTGTCTCTGGTGAAGCCTCTCACCGCCCCTGAGCCTCTGGCCTGTACCCCAGTTCTGTATGCACAAATAAATAAATCTTTAAAAAAAACAACAACAACAAAAAAAAAAAAACAAGAAAGAGGGTGAAGTTACAAATAAATCGTAGATCCTTGATGTGAGTGATCGGTGAATGATAATGCCCAGCATTCAGAGGTGGGGGGGGAAGAATAACATGTTTGGGGGGAAATGATGTTTCCAGTGTGAGTCACATCAAGGATGAGGTGTCTTCTAAGACAGTAGGATGGATATGGGCAGGAAGCAGGTGGATATACAATTCTAGGGAGAAGCCTGACTATGGACACCAGTTTGGGAGCTCAGCACCTTAAGATTAAAGCATCTGGGATGAATGCAACCTAGAGCTGGAGCATCTTGAGGGTAGGGATCTATTAAATCAGTGCCATCACAGCACTGGCTTAGCTCAGTATCCCCAGGCAAAACAATCAGACTTTCCTGATTGAAGTTCTACTAGGCTGCAGTGGGGAAGAGGGATTAAGTTCGTAGGGAGAGACTTTGGCTCTGATTTATCAATGTTGCAAGTGGCATGGTTGTAAATCCCAGCTGCAGCTGGGAAGACTTCCAACAAGTTACTGACTCAGAAAATATCTTAATTAAAGAAATGCTTCCTCACCAAGGGAGTGTCAACAGGAGCTAAAGATTCCCCATCTGTGGAGGGGATTCCCCTTCTGAGCTGTCCAATAGTCTCCATGGTCAGTTCTGACATTCTGTGAAGGTAAACTGCTCACCATTCCTACCCCCTTTCCCACAGACACCCAGCATTTAGAAACTCCACAAGACTTCATTGATAGCAGTTCTGCTGAGAGGTCAACACTACAGGAGGCCCTTAATAGGCTGCAAAAGAAATTCATTCAATCACTCCACAAACATTCATCAAGCCCCTACTCTTGTGCACCGAAAATAGAGAAATGAAGACTCTCATATGGAAGCAATGTGACTATAGATGCAGAAACTATCTTGTTTCTGGTGTTAGTTTCTGAAACTATCTTCTCATTGGATCCCAAAAAGGTACTGAAAGGCCTCTTTGCTACGGTGCTGGATTGTAAAAGTCTGATGAAAGGATGTATAAAAGAAATAGGGGGCTGGGGCATGGCGAAGTGTCCAAAGGTGGGATCTCAGCCGGCATAGAATCAGAAAAAAACAAAGAAAGCAAGCAACACTTCTCTCCGCACGAATAACAACGCAAACGTTGACATCTATTAAAGGCTTTCTCTGTGGTATTACCGTGGTACCTTCTTTCTTTGGTTTATATAGTTTCTCTGACAGCGTGGTTGTGGGCACTTCTATTCTTATCTTTGAAACCTCAACACATTATTGCAGAAGATCGCAGTAGGATGGGACACTGCGGAAGGGAGCGTCAGAGGAGCGGAACTAAGGGTCAGCGACTGTGGAGGACACCCGGAGGCTTTTCATCGAGACTCCCGCCCTAGCTACGCGCGCCTCGTTGCTAGGGGCGGAGACACGGGAGGCAGTGGAGAGTGGAAGCTGCAGTTTCCTCTGCTTGGGTGCCCGCGCTCGCCCACTTCCCCGCAGGTCCAGCCTGCCGGTGGGTACGGAGCCCTCGCGGGGAGGACGGGGCGCAGCAGGCGGACCGGGAGGTGGGATCTCACGCGCTCCCCAGGTTCTAGCTGCCCAACTGACCGGAGGTGGGAGGGGATTCCAAGGGCGGACCGTGGATTGAATGGTATTACATTTCCATCTTGGGCACACTTCCTGATACAGACGTCAAAAATAGACTTTGACCAACATCGCCCCCACCCCCCCAAGCACAGGGTGAGGGAAGTTCGTGATCAGAAAAGAAAAGCTACACAGAGCTTGTCCCCAAAACTTGGGTCAACCTTGGGAGTCTGGCCGGGTACTGACTTCCTAGGCAAGGCTCTGGGCAAGACCTTTTTATTCTTGGGGGGTGGGGGGTAGGGGGGGTTCCTTTTCCTTTCTCTGTATCATTAGCGGGTCAAATCAAATCATCTCCCATTTGCTTCTGTGTTTCTGTTTGTTTGAATTTTGGTTCAGATGCCTTAATTTCTAGAATGTAGGATAGAATGTACAGAGGGAATTTTGGGAAGGAGGAGAGATATGAAATAAGTATTTAACAGTGGACCAGAACACCAGGGAAATAAAGTAAGGTGACCCAGGCTCTGCCCTATGTGACCTTTAGTAAGTCACAACTCCAGAGTCCCAGACTATTCGTCGAAAATAATGGAGTTTAAATGCAGGAGTCTATCAAGGAATATTGCCCTGGAGAGTCCAGAGAGAATTCTACGAATTAAGCTTAAAATAACTACTAGGTACAAACTGAAGAAATAGGTCCTGTGATCAGATTTAGGCCTGGTTCCAAGTGGAACCAATAAGGACAACCAAAGCCATAAATGACTTTACTCTTTCTAAAGTTTCTCCAAGCCTAATATCAGGAAAAAACCCTGAAGGATTTATTGAGCAGCTTTAAAGGACCCTTAGGTTGTTGGATTTCTAAAATCTTCTTGCCAAACAGACTTTTCACCTCTTATGCCATTCATCATTCAAAAGATACTTGCTTTCTATCTGTTCTCTCAGACTATGCTTAAGGCACAGATCCAAAAACAAACAAAACATTACCACGCCTCTCAAGTACATTGCATGTTCACAAATATAAACACGGGAAGATAACAGAATTGTATTTGCATTTCTTAATCTACTCATAATAAATACAACATGGATGTTATCCAAGTACAGATACTTTGTTCAGATTTTAAACCACCTTGGTTTATAACAAATCAATCTTTAATGTTATTGTGATCATTGCTCTGGGCAGGACAAATAATTGGCTTTGGTTTGTTATCTTTCAGACTCCTTTGTCAGTTGTATATGTTCTCTCTGGTATTTGTTATGTATACTTAATATGTGTAGTTAAGAAGTATTAGGGTGAAATTGCACTTTTAGAGTTGCTATCATTGATAATGTAGCAATTATGCTAGTGGCCATCTGATTAGGAAGTTTGTTAGGTTGGACTGAGGACTTCTATGCACTAGCTTCTGCAGAGATATACTGTGGTGTGCTGGCCAAGAGCTGGGTCCCCGGCATCAGACTGCTTCGATTTAAGTTTCAACCTTGACCCTTAGTTGCACTTATTTGTAAACTTGGGCAAATTATTTAATATCTGTATCTTTTCTCATCTGCAAAGTGAGGATAGTAGCAGTGTCTATATCCAGGGTTTGTGGAATAAATTAAACCTGTTAATACATATAAAGCACTTAAGATAGTTCATAGTACATCTTAAGTTTTATTTTTCATAGGCACAGAAGCCCAGTGATAGTTATTATTCCATTTTACATATAAAAAAACTGAGTTTAGAGAGACCATCAGCAGTTCACCCAAAGTCACTGCAAAAATGTAACTCACAGTTAGTTCTAATGCTAATGCTAATGCACTTAATCAAATGGTACTCTGACTACCTTGTGTTGCTTTTAATTCTTGGAATAAGGCATTGTCTATCAGTAATCAGAACTTATTTTTATTTATTTGAATTCTGAAAATAGAGTTGTTAAAATACACACACCACAAAAACCCCACAAAACAAACTCTGTGTTTCTTTGTAGGTATTTATACTGAAAATTCTGGACAGTAATCAGGAAGGCTACCCAGATATATTTTGAGCAAATGTTTCTACCTTCACTCTCCAGATACTTAAGTACGATTTATATGTGATGATTTTGAAAAGCACTTCCATGTTATGAGTCATAAATATTAAAGTATTTTAAATTGGCAAAATTGCCTTTGTCATACACACAGAAAAAACTGAACTCTGAAGTAAGCCGTGAGCTCATCTTTTTGATAAAAAAATATAATGAATAAAATGAAAATGTTGAATAATGCAATTAAAAATCACATTTTTCATATTTAAAAATGATGTATAATTAACATTGTGTTATACTTTCCCTGATTGTTGGAAATGTCAAGTTACGTAATCTTGGAATTTTGTGAGTTCTTTGTGGGGAAAACCACACTTAACAATTTTTTTAATTAAACAAGGTTTTATATACCTTGTAAGTCTCTGTAGTGTGCAAACATCTGCTTAGATAGAGATTAATTTAAGCATCTTTTAGTAATTAACAGAGATTAGGAAGAGGCTTCCTCAACGATTTTCCAAAGGATAAACATTACAAAGCATTGAATGCAGCATTTCACCAAGTGGGCCCTAGGAAGGTAAGTAATTCTAAAAGTAGCTTTTGTTTACAAGTCCTAGGAATACTCTTTAGATGGGAATTACGACTCTTTTAAGAATCCAGTCACTTTTTGTCCAATTTGATCCATTTATAGCATCTGCAGCTTCTAGGGACCCGGATCTATGGATGGCATCTGTCCTTAGATGAGAGTATTGAAAAATGGGTTAGACAGGCCTATCAAAGCTCCACCACCGCTGTGTACAAGTAATATGTCCTAATCTTCTCTGAAAATTGTCCTGGCATTTTTCATTAGCACGTCTTATGCTGCCTTATAGAGGATCCTAGAATGCCTGAAGTGGAAGGGATCTTAGCTCCACTACTTCACAACAAATGAATTTGGCATACTGTGTGAGCCACTTGAGGTCAAGGGTGAAGATGCTGGTATCTTTCCTCTTGGGAAACATATATCTACTAAAAATCATTTCATATAATGTCCTTGCTTACAAACGGGGAGGCTGAGGTACACAGAGGGTGGAGAAACTCAAGACAAAGGCAGCTGGTTCTGCAGTCGCAGCTGCTGACCCACTGTTCTTTCTGCTTTTGTGCTAGCTACCTATTCTTGTCAGGATTCTGACAGCTCCTCCATGTAGACTTTTCTAGAAAGTTTCCTTTTAACTATAACGGGATAATTGAGAATACTTACTTGGTGTGTCTTAGCTGCCATACTACTATTTTTTCTAGAACTAGCTTCATCATGCTCATAGAAGCTCATTTCCTGGAACGTCTTTAAACAGAACCCTAAAAGAGGTGGAGACTGAGTTCTCCTACCTCCTTAGTTACTGAAGGGTAACTTACAGTTTTTTGTTGAAACACCTGTTTTTTAATTATTTTGGCTATATTAAAATTAGCTTTATTTTTGCTTTTGTTTATTTGCTTTTTTGCTTTCTTAAATAATGCTTTATTGGTGGGGTGCAATTCACGGTCATCGAAGTGAGGAAAGGAGGAAAGCAAATGTATACAGTTAGTCTTTTTCAAAAACAAAACAAAGATTTATTTGTAACATAACCAAGCTACAATCGTGACTACAAGATTAACAGTTTGTGGTCTTCTGTTCACTATACAAACAACACAACTTCCTGCACCAGGGAATGCTGCTACTCACCCGCCATCCGAACCAAGTTCCTCAGGTTTCCTGTAGGTTTTATCCTGTGATGGGAAAGCTGCAAAGCAAACTCAAACACCGAACTTACAGATACAGGTACGGCACCCCAATCTGTAGTCCCATTCCTCGGGATCCCAGATTTTATCACGTCCTGTTCTCCAGTAGACAGAGGTTCCAGCACAAGTATTAGTGACCTGCCCGGAACACTTTGGTTCATTTTCTTTGGGGGGAAGAATCAACCGGTTCGTTAATGTGTGCAGGGGCCTCTCTGGTGGTGCAAGGGTTAAGCACAGCACTGTGAGGCCATCTGCAGCACTGTTTTATCCCCAGCCAGGGAGCTGACCAACATGATGGAGCAAAGTTCTCCTGTCTCGCCAGCTGCTCCCCTCAGCAGTGTCCTTCAATCTGCCTGTTCTGCTCCCCACTCTGTCTCTGGTGAATCCTCTTACCCCCACTGATCTTTAGCCTAGACCCCGGTTTTAAAATTTATATGAATAAATTTTAAAAATTAGTGTCTGCAGCCACACAGAGAGGGGCCTCCAGTTCTCAAAATTATTTCTAGTGTGAGCAAAGATTCCTGGTTTTTTGACTTCAGGGCTCCCCTTTATCACATTCCAGGCATTCTGCACCCAGAGCACATTTGGGCTGACTGCTACCATTCCTAGCAAAGTTGGCATGTCACTTTTCTCTACTCCTTTTCTTCCCATTTCTTCAGCCCTGTACAGTTCTTCCCTTGCACTAGTCTGTAATCGCATGCCTCTGGGCTTCATCTTCCACCCTCTCTTCAGCAGGCCTGATGGAATTATAGAAGACAGGATTCAGACTAAAGCTTTTCAAGAGCATTGTCCAGCTCACGTGGATCCCGTCTCTGTGGTTGCTGCTCTGAACTCAGACCTTTGTGTCTCCGGAGGAAAAAATAAGGTGGGGCTTGCAGTGCTTCCAAGGAAACACAGGTACTTCAGAGGAGGGCATTTTTTTGCAATGCAGTGAGGCAGGCCCAGCTTCGCAGCGTTGTTGAGCAGTATTGACTAGTGTGAAAATACGGGCTTTAGAGTCACAGAAACTGAGTTTAAATCCATGCTCTGCCACTTCCTGTTACTTTAGACATGTATTTTATTCCCATGAGTTTCGTTCTCCTTATCTGTTTAACTGGGGGAACGATGCCATCCTTCCAGGACACCTGTGAGCATTATGTATAAGATCCTTAGTCTATGCCAGCACTACTCACAGGCTTTTTGTAAATGACAAATACGATTATGTTAGCTGATGCAGTTTTTTGTTTTATTTTTATTTTAGCTGATGCATTTTTACACTTACACACAGATACAGGAGGTAGTCGTGAGAAAATGCCGCCTTCTAATCTCTTCTTTTGCCAAAATGTCTGCATGGTGATTCTAAATTTTTGTTCCTCTTTCTGTTGTCATTTTGAGCTGGCTGCTTTCTCTTCCTTGTGTTTGAATCTCTGATGACACTCATAGCTAGGATATTGGTACCAAAAGTGTCTTTTGTAATAAATAATGCCTCTCATTTTCATACCCTTTTAGATCGTTCAATTCCATTTTACACTGTTTTCGTTCATTCAAAGATGCATGTTTTCACATAGTAATACCCTTGAAATCAGGATGCAGCCAAAAATTGATGAGAAAGCATGGTAAAATTTAATTGGTAGCATTGTCTTAAAATTGACGTCATCTTAGTTACATAAAATTGTATTTATATCTGTGATCTTCCCTTGTGAGTCGACAGAACAAGGATTATCCTATTTTGCAGATTAAGAAAGAGGGATTTAACTCAGTCCAGTGCTAACATGCTTCTTACTCTCCAGCAGTGAACTATGGGCAGAGAATGCTTTGAAATCTTGTGTAGGCAGAGAAATGCTTACAATAAAATGTGAAAGTACAAACTACACCTGAGGAAAGGATGGGAAGAAAATTCTAACAGTGATTTTTCTCTGGGAGAACGAGTTACAGATCAGGTTTTTAGTACTAAGAAAGGAATGGTCTGCTTCATAACAATGTGATGAAACACTGCCATACTCTACAGCTATCCCTGGTTAAGAAGGTAAATCACAAAAACGCTGAAATAAAATTACATTACAGAACAGAGAACAAAATCAAATCCCATGTAGAATTCTCCTTGAGCATTTATAGTTGAAACCTAAACCCAAATCAGTGGGTTTTGTGTTCTCCCGAGCCCATCAGTGTGGCTCAGAGGTGTGACCCACTGGGGAAAGAAAGAGAGCAGGGAAGAAAAGCCACTCAAAATAGGGGACAGCAAAAGGACACAACAAAACCCTACAGCTTGATGCAGTTCCCTTGACAGAGGAAAAATCAAGTAGAGGATGAAGTGAAAGGCTTGTTCTGTGAGTTTAGCCGAAGTTCAGTTGAACTAAGACACCCTAACGACTCTCCGCAGACAGTGGTGGCCTGTAACTGGAAGACTGGGAATGTGGTGAAACGGTTCGAAGGACACGAAAGTGAAATCACCAAGGTAAAGGTCAAGGGTTATCAGCACGCAGGGAATTCAGAACTGACGAAAGGGATTGCCCAGCACTCTCGTAGGAGAGGGACCAGGCATCCTGACGCTGCCAGGCAAACCTTTCACTCCACTCTAGTGCCACCGGGGCACTAGACCCACCTTGTTGCCGTGAAGCCCTCAATAGCTCAGGTAGTGAACAGAGAACAGCTGAAAGTAACTCTCGCCAGCTGTCCTCACCTAACAGGGACGTAGGTTGAAGGTCTACTGTGTGTTTACCATAGCAAGGAAAATGACCCAAATCCCTCCGCCCAGGAACCTTCTAATCTAGTGGGGGGCATTTTATTTTTTTAATACTAGTTTATTTTTACATATTTTTGTGCATTTTCCCATCTCAGTTGCAATCCCCTTGGGTTTCCCATCACCAAATCACCCATGTGCCGTCACCATAGTCCAGTGCATTTCCCTCTAGTGGGAGGCATTTTAAAAAGTCAACATCAGTTAAATAAAAATTATGTTAGAGAGCATTTCAGAGTGGAGTGGCCTTCCAGGAAACTGGTGTGTGTAAATTCCCCTCTCTGACGCCCTCCTGAATCAACCAAAAATGAAAGACAAACTTCATCCTGTGAAGCTGGACTCAGTAGCACAGAATGTGGCACTGACCTGGCAGAGTTTGGAAGCGGCCACCTCCCCGGGCTCCAGCACTCTCTTCCCCAGTCTTCTTCCATTTCAAAGTCCAGTTGAAGCGCTTTGTTCCCTCGAGCAGATCGCCTGTGCTCCCAGATCCGGCCAGTTCTTCAGCGCCTCCCGTGACAGGACCGTGGCGATGTGGGACTTGCTGGGGTCCTCACAGCCCCGGCAGCGATTCTCGGGCCACGGCCTGGTGGTCACCGGCTTGGCAGTGAGTCCCGGTAAGTAAAGCAGGCCGCTTCCTGGCACCGTGGTTTCTGACAAGGACTTTCTGGAGGGGCCCACCTCACATGCCGTCTTCTTGCCGTTTCCCAAGACTCGTCACAGCTGTGTTCTGGCTCGAGGGACAACACCCTGCTTCTGTGGGACGTGGGGACCGGCCAGTGCGTGCAGAACGCGTCCATCTCCAGGAACCTGGTACGAATTCAAGATTGTGCAGAGGGCAGAGCCGGGCAGCAGACAGGAGCATGGCGTGAGGGAGAAGGCCCGGGAGGGAGACCAGGAGGCCCACGCCAGTCACTCGGAGCTTGGGTCCTAATTACCGCCCAACCTCCAGGTTTCTTGGATTAGGTGATTTGCATTCAGTCCAGGCTGGTGGGTTCATCATCGGTTCTCGCAGATGAGAAGATAATTTTGGAGTCCTTGGTAGACTTTTACAGCCTTTAATGCTGAAAGCGGGGACAGGCCAACTTTCCCCTTGGCATTCCTCTCGCTCTCTCCTCTCATGTTGTCTTTGTCCTGCTGCGGTGACACCGCCCTCTGTCCCCCTCGGCACAGGTGTCCCTATTTACATGTGCACATGTCCTGTGCTTTCCAGGCCCAGGTACCCCTAATTACAGGTGTGTATGCAAGACTGCAGGTGCCAGTCATAGATGCTGGTGGTTGGGGGGAGCTGTATTTTTAGCTCATTTGCCCTACAGTGATCTCTTAAGGTCTTCTGCTGCCCAGAAGGATTCCACTCGCTAATATTGAATTTTATTTTATTTTATTTTACAAAAGTTTATATTGAATTTTAAATGGTGTCCTTGTTTGTTCCTTCATCTAGTTCCAGTAGATGCCCCCATCCACTGCCCATCCCTTGGTGGATGCTGTCCACGAAACCACGGACAGCACCGAAGCCTGTGGTTAGCATGCGTTTCCTGTTATGCGCATGTATGATAGTTTCTGTTGGAAATTAGAAATAGTACATTAGCAAAATAAATAGAGCAGTTACAGTACACTACAGGCAATGAAACCATGAAATATGAGAGCCCAGATGACGCGGGCTGGTGTTTTCCATCACTTCTGCGGACCAGACACTGTTTGGAGCAGGGCTAGTGACCGGGCCCAGACTTGGTCCTCAGGAGCTCACCATTTAGTGTGTTCCGGGTCCGTAACGTCATGCAGAAAAATGAGCCCTTTTGCCGTATGTGTCATTTGCCCTGTTCATGAAGAGGAGTGTTTTCCGGTAGTGGACTGGCATCTGGACCCCACTTCCTTTGGCATCAGGCATATTTGGGTTCAAATCATAGATCCGTCACTGCTTAGCAGTGTTACTCTGAGAAAGAGTCTGATTTATAAAATGGGGAGCTCTGTATCAGCGGGCGTCATAGGTACTCCTCAGTGGTCATCAAAAACCAATCAGACGTCTTTGCTAGTTTGAAGACCACTGGCAATGAATGGCAAGGGGTTTGCTGTACACCTTGCATGTTTGTGAAGGTGGCACAGGGAATTCTGTTCCCTTGGGTTATTTCTGGAAAACTGTTTCATGCCAGTCCAGCAGAGGGCTGCAGGGATAAAGAGAAACAGCTCCCTTTCTGAATGTATGAGGCCCACCCGGCTCCCAGAGGCTCTCCCCGTTCTCCCCGAGAAAGGCCGCCCTCCTTGGCTGCCCCCAGCCTGCAGCTGTCTTGCACACCCGGGCTTCAAGCACTCTGAGTGCCCACGTGCATTCTGGGTGTCGCCAGTGGCCCAGCTATGCCGTCACTGCCCCTAACCTGGGAGCTACACGCAGGGCATCTTCTGAACGGTGTGCATCTGCCAAACATGCACGCCCGAATGTGAAATCTGCTCGTTTAGCGTTCACGAGGGAGACAGAGTTGCCCTTTAACACAGCTGAAGGGCTCTCCAGCCTAGGAGTGACCAGCACGGCACGGAGAAGTTCTGAAGATGCTGCCTTTTCTAGGTCACTCACCTGTGCTGGGTCCCCGGAGAACCGTACATACTCCAGACCTCGGAAGATAAAACCCTCAGGTGAGCTTACTGAGCAGCAGTGAAGGTGTTTCTGGTGAAGGTTTGTGGCTCCCGGGCTTCTGTGACCCCGCCCCCTCTCTGCTTTTCCCACATGGTACAGCCCTTCCACCTCTGTTTCCTGCTGGTGCGGGCCCCTCTCTGGATCACCTGGGTGGAGGCTGAATGCCAGGGGTCAGGCCAGAAAAAGCCTTTGTTCTGGATGGTTTCAAAGTGGCTTGTTTGGCCCATCGTGCAGTGTGGACCTGGTTAGATTCAGCTCAGGGTCAGTCACCTCCTCCACCCAGCCCTTCAGGCTGCAAGGCCCGGCCCCCTCCCCCACCCCACCCCACCCCTTTGGCTCCTACTGTGTTTAGGTGAAGCTCTCCCTGGGGGAAGCAGGCTCAGACTCACTCTCGGGGATGCACATGAAGTCAGTCATTCTCAGGCTACAAAGCAGGACTGGATCTCAGAAGAGATTCTCCTTAGAAAAGGGTAATAATGAGGCGAGACCAGCGATAAAACTCCCCAGTGTACTCCATGGTCCAGATTGAACAAGATCTATCTCTTTTTTATCTGATGGTGGAACCATGACTGTCTCTTCTGAGTCATGAGTGTCTTTAAAAAAAAAAAAAATTAAATCATAGGCACAGAAATGCACTCTTGTCTGTTCAAAGCACTATCCCAAAGGACCAAATTAACAAGTTAACTTGCACAATTAAGATGCTAGGCCTAAATTCCTATGAACTGGACCTCAAAATAGAAAAAACTCATGTGTCATCCACTTTGGTTATTTCCTACCAGCTTTGTTGTCTCTAACATTGATCTGGCCATGCAATTGCTTTTAGCTAAATAATGACATTCTGCTCTGACTGGCTGAAGCAGCAAAGAGCCTTTCATGTAAACTGTGCTTTATTTTAGATACATTTACTACAAACTCATTTCCTGCTGTAATTTCTTTCAGATTATGGGATAGTCGAGGGCTACAGGTGTCCCATACATTTCCCACAAAGCAGCACATTCAGACCTACTGTGAGGTCAGTGAGGATGGACAGAAGTGTCTCTCCTGCAGCAGCGGCTTTGGGGGTGAAGGCTGTGAAGCAACGGTAAGAGACTGGGGTTAAGTGTCTATTTGTTGTGCAAATTACTTACAGGACAGACTCTCCAAATGGCTTGGGTCTATCCAAGTGCATACTGTAAGGGGTCCTTTGCATTCCAGATGCTTCTTTCAAGAAACATCTATTAGTTGAGGGTTTTCTGAATTGGTAGTAGAAAAGAAAAATGGAACGGGAGGTTAGGGAGTCACTAAACTCAACCCACCTATTGATGCCCCCACCCCAGTAGAGTTTAGAAAAAGTAGGTTGCTTGAGCCAATTGTATTTCCACTATTCATGTGTCCCCAGTAAAGTGGGCCAAGTTTCTTTGGAAGTTTTGGGATCCACTGCTGGTTCAGGGTCCACACTATCCCTTACCCATATACTTTACCCGGCAATTAATTTTGGGAAAGATGGCCAGAGCACCTCCAAAGTCTTATATTCCTAATCGTAGACTATCAGTTAGAAGGGTTATCTAGGATTCAAACAGAGCAATTGCAGCTCCCACTTATTAAGCATTTGTTATTTTCCAAGCAACTGGCCTGAGTCCATTACATACATTATCTTAGTTAATCCTTAAAGCAACCTGTGTGTTAGATACTATTAGAATTTCCAACTTTTTAAAGATTTATTTATTTATGCATACAGAGCTGGGATACAGACCAGAGGTGCAGGGGCAGTGAGAGGATTCACCAGAGACAGATTGGGGAGCAGAACAGGCTGACTGACGAAGTACACTGCCGAGGGGAGCAGCGGGTGGGTCAGGAGAGGTCTGCTGTGCCATGTGGTCACCTCCAGGGCAGGGATCAAACTCATGCCAAAGTGGCTTTAGCTTCTTAATGCTGTGCTTTAACCCCCTGCGCCACCAGGGAGGGCCCTAGAAATTCCATTTTATAGATGAGGAAATAAAGGCATGGCCAGCTGGAATCTTCTGCACAAGACAACACCTCCAGGAAGCGGTCAGTCATGGTGTTCATCTCCAGGCTGTTAATGTAGCATCTCTTCTCCAAGCAAACCATCCCCAGCTCCTACAACTGTCCCTCAGATGATATTGTATCCATGACATCATTATGTTTTGAACACAGTTCAATTTGCTCTTTACCCGAACGTTACTCTCCAGGTGTGGTCTGGTCTGAAACCTTAGCTGGACTGGGGGACTGTCACCTCTCTTGCAGCCTTCATGTATCAAATTTCAATGTCTAGGCATAAAATCAGAGTATTTGGGTCTAGCTGTATTTGTGAGGAGGTCCTCCTAGCTATGGGGTGCCCACAGGACCCATAGATACCAAGAGGCTGACATAAGGCTGTTCTTGATCTGTCACAGAAGTTAGGCAGCCCCACACTGTCCCGAACCACAAAGAAGGCAGCAACCCTTTCAGCACACCCTTGCCCAGGGCTGTCTGAAACATAGCTGGTGCTTAAAATAATGTCTGGCAGGAGGAAGGGATGGGTGAAGTTGAGGGCAGCTATGTGAGTAGGCGAGTGGAAGGAATAGGTGATTCATGGGGCTGAGGGGAGGTCGTTATCAATGAATGAAGCATGTAGGAAGCTAGAGCAATGTATGCGTTGGCCCATGTCACTCCTTTGCAGCTGTGGGACCTACGGCAGACACGGAACAGAGTATGTGAATATAAGGGGCATTTCCAGACCATTGCGTCCTGCGTATTTCTACCGAGATCATTGGCCTTGATGCCTCTAGTTGCTACTTCATCACATGACTGCAAGGTGAAGATTTGGAACCAAGACACTGGTGGTAAGGACTCGGTAACTCCTAAAGCTCCTTAAAATGCTTGCCATTGTTTACTCTGCAAAGCTATCGTACCCCGCCTCTAGCTATCACCTAGTGGTTAAGAGATGACACCAAGATACCAGAATCTCTGCTCAAGCTCTGACTAGAAGCCTTCACCACATATCCTCTGGTGCCATGTTATACAGACTCAGTTTCCAAGAATGCAAATTATTTGACTCTTAAAGTCCTTCCATCCAGAGTTGCTCATGAAATTTCAATTTGTGATGTTCAAAATGTCTGCAAAAGAGAAAAACAATTGGCTGTTTTGAGTTCAAGTGTGAGCTCTAGGTGAGGGGGAATTAGAGACTGGTGGTGAAAGAAAGCCTGCCTCTTCTTTAGGTTTGCTATCTCAGTGAGGTCATGATACTTCAAAGCACCAGAGGAAAAGATATTTTAAAGAACAAAGCTCCCCAGAGTCCTCAATGAGGTGAGACACTGGATTCAGCGCCTCCTGTTGGGCTGTTAATACCCAGTAATATTTAATATGGTCAGAGTGGAGAAGTTCCATCACAGATATGGGCAAATGCTATGAGTGAAGTTGGTTGGTTTTTCCAGAAAACCTCTATGCTATTCTTCCCTGGACAGTGGTTCAGTCAGACACAGGAATAACATTCATTTAGAAAATGTCATTTAGAGAATGACCCTCAAACTAGGGCCTCGCCAGTGGCACGGGGTTAAGTCTCAGCTCTCTTAAGCTATCGCCACCACTATGGCATGAGTTTGATCCCCGGCCAGGGAGCTGACCCACATGGCACAGCAGACCTCTCCTGTCTCGCCCACTGCTCCCCTCAGCAGTGTATTTCAGTCAGTCCACCTGTTCTGCTTCCCATTCTGTCTCTGGCGAATCTTCTCACCCAGCCCCCCACATCTCTGGCCTATATCCCAGCTCTTGTATGCATAAATAAATGAAATAAATCTTTAAGAAATAGAGGCCTTCAAACCAAATCCCTCTGTCAGTAATCTTCCAGAAACTTAGCTCCCAGGAGGGAAAATACAATAACCCCCTCAGAGAACATACGTGGGGTCATGTCTACTGCCACACACCCAGCCCTCCATGGTGAGGACAGCCCTGCCCTACTCTCCCCAGAGTGGCCTCCCAGCTTCCTGGGGGGTAACAGAGTGAGGGGACAGTGAGATGAGCAGATATTTTCATCATCGACCATTAACCTGAGGCCACTGAGTCTGAAAATGCCACCCTGCCACCAGGTGTGTGCCCACAATCTTAGACAAGTGGCCACTGACATGCAGAAGTGGGGAGTCTGAGTCACCTGGAAGCCCCCCAACCTACAGGTTTCCCCTTTATCCTTTGCACTGATCCCAGAATCAATCCCAGCAGAACCCCAGAATACAGCAGATGAAGATCAGCGTGCTTATCCGTTTTTCTCGGCCCTTCCCCCTGCTTTGTTCCCGGGTGGCTCACTCTGAGCAGTGTGGTAACATGTTCTCACAGGAGAGGCCAGTCAGACACTACTTGGTGCTGCACATATGCTGTCCCTGTGGTTGACGTTGGCGTGACCGGAGCTCTGCCGTGTCTCAAAGTGCCGGGGCATGTTCTCTGAAGCATGTGGTGCCTCTCTTCCCTGGGTTAGATAGAAGTAGCCTAGGTTTTCCTGACATGGATTTCTCCAAATACACCTTGGCCTAACCTGCCAGCTCTCCCTTCCTCCCCCAGCCTGCCTTTTCACCTTGTCTCTGGATGGCGCAGGACCTTTGACTTCGCTGGCTGTTGGTGACACCGTCTCCTTATTGTGCGCAAGCTTCCACAGAGGGATTCACCTGCTCAGAGTGGACCACAGCCGAAGCCTGGAACTGCAGCATGTGGCAGCCTTCTGAGGCCCAGAGACAGCAGCAAACCACGGCCTCTCCCTTCGCAGTGCGACTGTGTGCTTTCCCATGTTATACTGCGGGAGGCTGACATGGCAGTGGTCTTCTTGGCTTAGGTTCGCTTAGGGAGGTGTATTGGTGTTAGAAGTCAACTGAAGCCCTGTGCTTCAAAATCAGGAGTAAAGTTTAGAAGCACAGACAGAACATAGGATTTGCAATTTGTTAAATCCAAAGTGCAGTTTTCAGAAAAAGAAAATGTTTACGGCTCAAAATAATGACTTGTAAGAGTAGTGAAGGTCTCTGTCAGAGAGTGAGAACCCAGGGCCTGAGTCTATTGAACTGACCTTGTCCATGTGCAGGGCAGGAGTGAGAGCTGTTTGTTCACCTCAAAAGTGTTGAGATAATTTCGAGAGACTAGTTCAGCTCCACAGAGGACATAGACTTTAGACTTGAAATTCACTGCCGTCACTGCGCCTTAGCAGTAGGAAGAATCCTTGAGGGCCTGAAAGCCAGAGCCTTGGTTGGCTTCTACCCACAGGAGCAGCACAGAGGGGCTAGCAAATCCCAGCCTGCGCCCTTCCTAGACCAGGGCTGGAACCTGCTAGACAGGAAGAAACATTTCTCCAATAACCCAGATGGCCGCCCTCAGACCACAGGCCCAGCAGTGAGGAACTGGTAACAGCACATGCTGGCTGAGCGAGCTTGTATACTCTACCGAAATGGAATCACGCCGTACTGCAGTAGGTGGGAATAAAGCCACCAGTCTCTACCAGCCACTTAAGTGGACCCTTTGCAATATGATCTCTCATCAATTGGCAGGAGCTAGTTCCTGCCCCCTAGAGCCTGGGGGAGTCCCCAGAGTCTCTGGTTTTCAACTTGGCTTGACTGATAGAATGCAGGGGAGCTGAGCAACTTCTAAGGCCTTGTGGTTTCGCTTCGTCCCTCTTGGAATGCTGCTCTGAGGTCTTGTCAGGGAGGTCACATGGAGAGACCCAAGCACCAGGGTGAGCAGCCCCCGTGGACCTTCCAACCAGCCAAACCCGAATACAGCTACAGATGAAATCAGAAGAGCAGCTACTCAGCCACACAATCATGAGAAATAATAAATAGTTGCTGTCTTAAGATTTAAGCTTTGGGGTGTTAAGCAAAGTTAAATTAATAGATTTCAGTAAAGCTACATTTTTGGTTAGGCTTCTCACGCTGATATATATATATATATTTTTTAAGATTTATTTATTTGTGCATACAGAACTTAGGTACAGGCCAGAGGTGCAGAGAGGATTCACCAGAGACAGAGCGGGGAGCAGAAGAGGCAGATTAATGAAGTGCACTGCTGAGGGGAGCAGCGGACGGGTCACATGCCGTGCCATGTGGGTCACCTCCAGTGCAGGGATCAAACTCAGGCGGAAGTGACTTTAGCTTCTTACTGCTGTGCTTTAACCCCCTGTGCCACCAGGGAGGGCCCCCGCTTGATATGTTTTGAGGTTGATTCACATTGCTGTGTAGTGGAGCGTCATCCCTCAGGCAGACCGACTTCACCAAGGTTGCTATTCAATGCTGCGTTGTCCCGATGGTGACGGGCACAAAGGTGGAGAGAGAGGAGCAGGGAGGTGTCATCTGTGTCAGAATGTAAGGAATAAGTGATGGAGAATGAAAATCAGCAGGAATGACTGCCATCCCGAATCCCTCCAAGGGTGTCCTGCAGCTGCCACCTCATCAAGGCCTTGCCCACAGAAGACAGAAAAGCCCGGGGCGGGGGGGATGAGGATTGGCATTAACCAGCACTACATGTCCAGATGCCTGGCACTCTTGGTTCATCCAGAAACGGTCTTTTGGAAACCGACTGTGCCTGACTAATACCCACGCAGACATTGACGGGAGGCTGGCGGGACTGTTGGCCTTCATTCCCCAAAGCGTTGGTTACACAGAACCACAGGACATTGGCCTGGCCCTCCAGGTTGGGATGCAGCACTGCAAGCTGGCTGCAGCCCCCAGAGGTGGCCCACATGGCATGGGTCTCCTGAGCCCCGCTGCTCCCCTCAGCAGTATACTTGTCAGTCTGCCTATTCTGCTCCCCACTATGTCTCCGGTGAAGCCTCTCACTGCCCCTGCACCTCTGGCCTGCACCCAGTTCTGTATGAAGAAATAAATCTTTAACAACAAAAAAAGAACACTGGCCTCTGTTAGTAAAACATGTATCTGCAGGTATTTCTGTACACTCATAGATAAAATTCTAGAAGAAATAGAGCAAAATTATTTGCAGTGTTATCTGTGGGTATTGAATGTAAAGGTAAATTTAATTCGTGCTTTGGTATTTATTTATTTAGGCAATGAGGACGAATCCGTTTCCTTAAAAACTTATTTTGGATGTATTCACACAGTCACAAGAGTCCAAGACACCACAGTGACGCCTACTGCACTCTGGCTCCCTCCAGTGGTGACTGGTGTCAGCAGCAACTCACTCTTCCTTAAGTCTTTCTATGTCTACAAGCAAATACATGTGTTTGTGGTTTCTCCCTTATCACTTTTCCAGTCAAAAAGCAAGGCTACTTTCATTCTGAAGGAAAGGTTAAAGACTCAGGATATAGAAATATAAGTTAAAAAATACCAAACAGTACTTTGAGTAGGACACATTTCATAATAATTTACAAAAATAATTTATATTTAAAACTATGAAGAGGGCCTCCCTGGGGCACAAGGGGTTAAGTCTCAGCACTATGAAGCTATCTGCAGCCACTGCAGCCCGAGTTAGATCCCTGGCCACAGAGCTGACCCACATGGTGCGGCAGACCTCTCCTGACCCGCCTGCTGCTCCCCTCAGTCTCTGGTGAATCTTCTCACCCCTTGCACCTCTGGCCTGTACCCCAGTTCTTATATGTGTAAATAAATCTTTAGGAAAAAAAAAAAAAACTATGACGAAAAGAGACTGAAAAGCTATGACCCAGATGTACCAGTGGTTATTCTATATGTAGGATTTGGGGTGAACCTTTCTCCTTTCAGGTGGTGGTGTGGCCCAGTAGTTTAGGGTGTGGACTCTACCCCCACCTCACCCCTCACCCCTGGGGGAGTGACTTCTCTCTGGGTCCTAATGCCCTCATCGTACCATGGAGATGATGCAGTGACCCTTGGGCTGTCATCAGCAGCACATGAAGTTCAGGGTGTCATCTTTATATTCACCTGCATCTCCATTTTTTACTTTGGACATGTCTTACCATAGAAATTAAAGGGGGGCTCCCATGAGAGAAGGGCAGCAGCTACACAGAGGAGAACAGAGGAGAGACCAGCCATAGAGAAAGGAGAACTTGAGCCCAAGGATGAGCAGGATCCAGATCTGCAGCCGCAGAGAGGGGTGTGAGAGGGGTGTCTCTCGGCAGAGGGGTGGTGTCTCTCGCTTCTGCTAAACATTCCCTGAGAGGGTCCTTTGGCCGGTGTTGCCCGCAGACCCTCACAGAACCAGAAAGGGACACTGACCTAGAAGCCTTGCGGTGGCAAACCGGGGGCAGGGCGAGCAGGGGTCAGGAAACTAGCAGCAACCAAGCCCCCTGCCCCAGAGAATCGCCACGCTTTCTAGCTGGTGTTCTCACCTGGCATCACCTCTTCTGTAGTCACGGGTCTTCTCCCAGCCCAGCCTCTAGGCTCAGGGGTGCCCACTCAGGCATGCGTACTCCCATGCTCCAGGTGTCCACCATCAGGCACGTGTGCCCCCTGGCCCCACTCCCAAGCGCCTCCTTCATTAGCACAGGTGATAGCCACAGAGGCCAGTGGTGTAAACAGCCTGGTAAGTCACTCACCCTCAGCCTTCTCTCCCAGCATTTGAAGAAGCCCTCCCTGGACCTGCCTTGAACAAACAAGCCCCTGCCCACTCCTTGCCACTGTCTTCCTGGTACATCTCAGCTTGATCCGAGGGCCTTCGAGGGCCTTCTGGGGACAGTCGCTGCCGCCCGGCTGGAGAAAGAACTGCCCGGTTTGTTTCTAAACAGGAGGTGTGTGCGGGAGGTGCATCCTTCAGCTGCAGCCTGTCCTCTGCTCAGAGAAGGTGGATGGAGGGGGGAGAGGCTGCCCAGCCTCTCACACACTGCCCCCAGAGGAAGGGAGGGGAAGCAGTGCAGAGGATGGACAGTTGCAGGTTCTGGATTCCAGCCTCAGGGCTGATACTTCCGGTCCAATAAATGGGCCAAGTCTTTTTTTTTTTTTTTTACTTCTGACTATTTTAGTGACCTTCTCCCCAAAGGAAGTCCCACTTCTGCTGCCTCAGTATCTCAGAGCGTTGGTGTCATCAGCCCTGCAGGTAATGGTCCTTTGGATGGTTCCCATGGGCTTGCTGCTGCCCAGCGTGTGGTGGAGGATGAAGCCCTCCCCATCTTCTGCAGGCGGCAGGTGCAGCCTCCAGCTTGACCTTGCCGTTGAACAGGGCCTCGTACTCCTAGGCCTGGCACTGCCCCTCCTCCTGGGCCTGGGCCGGCTCCAACTCAAGGCGCAGCAGGACCCATCTGCGTGCACCGCAGGCCTCGTCCCTCAGGCTGTTCCCCGAGCAGGCCTTCAGGCTTCTCATGGCTTCCAGGATGAGCTCCAAGGGCTGTTCCATGTATCTCGGAGGACTGAGCTGCTCCTAGCTGCATACTCTGCAAGGTGATGGCCGGGGGGCTCTCAGTCCGCTCGGACCAGTATGTGTCCAGTTCTTCTGAGCCAGCTTCATCATACTGGACCCGGATGCCTGCTGAGGTTCTGAGCTTTCAGGAATTTCCCTCCCTGGTCAAATTATAACAGCCTTTGGCTTCCGTCTCTGTTACAAAACCAGAGCTGACAATCTGGGCTTGTAGATCCTTTACTTCCTCCTCAGCTGCTGCTTTTTCCTTTTTTCTTAAGATTTACTTATTCGTGCATCCAAGAACTGGGGTGTAGGCCAGAGGTGAAGGAAAGGGTGTGTGAGAGAGGGTTCGCCAGAGACAGTGGGGAGTAGAACAGGCAGGCTGACTGAGATACACTGCTGAGGGGAGCAGCGGGTGAGACAGGAGAGGTCTGCTGCACCACGTGGGTCAGCTCCCTGGCTGGGGATGGAGCTGCAGTGGCTGGTGAGAGCTTATAGCTTTGAGCTTTAACCCCTGTGCCAGCAGGGAGGCCTGCTCGAGCTTCTTCTTCATGAGGGGCAGCTCTCCTCCAGTTGCAGTTGAGTGATGTGGGTGTCAGCAGTGACCTGGCAGAGCCCAAGGGTGTCCTGCCACAAGCCACATGGCTGTTGCATGTCACATTCGACTCTGAAGTCTGCAGTAGCCACGGGACAGGCTTTATCCACCTGCAGAGACACTCAGCACTGTCCACAGAATCTATGAAGGTCTAGTCCTTGGCTCCTCCCTGGTCTTAAAGCAGTGGTGCCTGGGGAGGGTGGTGGTGGTGGTAGGGGGTCTTCTTTTCCAGGTGTTCCTGATTTTGCTCTCAAAGCGCCTCACCCACTCCAGGCAGCCATTCAGCTTTTCTGTGGCATCCTTTCAGCATGGGTGCTCCCCATGCCCACCGGTACCCCAGCCATGCCAGGCCCCCAGATTCCCAGCCACCTCCATAGCTGACAGACAGGAGATCGAGGAGCCTGAGTCCCCTGAATTTGCAGACGCTGGCTCTGCTCAGGGCTGGCTGGGTGGCTGGACGGCTGCATTGGGCCCAAGGGTCAAAGGGTGGCGCAGTTGGGGTGGGTGGTGAAGCTCACGCTGTTAGACCAGTCAGACTCTGGTCGGCCCACAGAGGAAGGCATCTGGGGTACATTCTTAATTTCACCTAAATCCAGTGGCCCTTCACAGAGCCCCTTGAGCTGGCCTGGAAGTAACCACGCAGATGCGAGCGACTGCTTGCAGAGGAAGGATGAGCACCGCTTTATATTTGTTTTGTTTTTTTTTTAA